GGCACATCAGTGTGACAGGAAACACTATTGTCAGCCAAAGAAGCTCACTCAAGCTTTTAAGTCCCAAGTTTTTGTTGGGGTTTAGCCTCATAGCTGTAGTTGATAACATCCCCAGCATTCTCCCCTCCTTAGAGGTTGGACTAATAAGCCCGCCTGGCTCAAAGCCCCAGACCTTAGTCACTTCGTTGGTCTTTGTGAAATGCCCAGCCTCACAACCTGAGTCATCCCATTATTAAACTAGGGGTCTACCATAAGTCATCTTGTTAGCATAAATTATCAGGGCCTACGGAGAGTAATAAAGCCACTGCAGTCACTAAGGAAATTCCAAGAGTGAGAAAACTTAAATTCCAAGAGTACTTTAAAAACTTCCAGACCCTGGGGACCAAAGCCTTCGAGATTCTTTTTAACCTTTAGTATTTCTTTAGTTTTGGCTATACTGGGATTTTACTGATGGTCTTGGGCTTTCTCTGTTGTGACTAGGAGGGGCTACGATCTTGTTGTGGAACTCTGGCTCTAAGGTACGGGTTCAGTCGTTGTATTAATCCCCGGCAGGCTCTGGAGGGTGTGGGCTTCAGCAGTTGTGGCAGACTAGCTTAGTTGCTCCGAGGTTTCTGGGATCTTCCCTGACCAGGGATGGAACCCATGTCCCCTGCATTGACAGGCAGATTTCTACCCACTGGAGCATCAGGCAAGTCCTTAAATTCTTTATTACACAACATTGAAACCTTAATGTTTCCTTTCTGCCCTTTGATTTTTTTCCCCCTCTCATTTTTGATGTTACCTTGGAATACCTCACCTGTTGCATGATTACAAAATATTATGTTCTGTTTAAGCCTTCTATTTTATTGTTCAAAATAATGTCTATGTCTCTCTTTAGGTGGGCTTCTTTGGCTACCTTGGAAGCTATTTTGCTTTATTTCTTTTGAAATTTCAACTAGTTTATACAGTGATAGCTTCATCTGTAATTTTACAGGTTCCCTTTATTTAGGTGTTTTTGTTTTTTAAATTCAAAATTATGTTGGCTCCCCTAGATACAGCTGAGACTTATGTTTGAAATATCCATGTTTGCTTTGAGTTTGATTGTTTTGAATTTGCAGTCACTGAAGTCTTTATATCACTACATCTTCCAAGTAAAGCTTGTGATTTTCAGACTTTGTGTGCTTCAGTAAAGATTTACAGTTTCTTCACGTAGGTCTGGAAATGTGTTCTACATCGGTGTCATGGTATATTTGCTAATAAAATGTAGACTGTTTCCCATATTGTGTTTTTAATTCCTGTTACTAAAGAGGAAGAATTGTTTTCAGTGAACTCAGGTGGCTCAGTGGTAAAGAATCCGTGATGCAGGAGACCTGGGTTTGATCCCTGGGTTGCGAAGGTCCCCTGGAGAAGGAAATGGCAACCCACTCCAGTATTCTTGCCTGGGAAATCACATGGACAGAGATGTCTGCATGGCTACAACCCATAGGGTCAAAAAGAATTGGACATGATTGATATGACTTAGCATGCATTCATACACAATTTAGAATTTTTTTTTCTACCATAAATGCAAAAATACACATGAGTTTTTAAAAAAGGTAGATTAAAAATGTTCCTTCCAAAAGATCTGTTACTTATGGAAGATTGCTTTTCCCTTAAGTGTCTTTATGTGTGCATCTGTGTGTTCAGGCAGTAACCTAGGGTATATATAAAAGACATCATCATTTCATGAATATTTTTATTTATTACAACCTTTGAAAATTGTTCTTACATATTTTCCATGTCCTTAGATTGTTTCCTTTTAGAGAAATGAATAAATAGTTCCATTTTAGTATAGGTATACATGAAAATGTTCAAATGATTTGATCAATTCTTTGTCTTGTTTTTTATATTCTTCACAATTAGAAAAACTTTTGTGAACTTTCTTCAGAGTTGTCCTTGTGTATTTTTCTGTGTATTCCTACAAGAGATTTTCACATATTTGCTTTCTAGGCGAAAATGGGTATTTATGATATTTGACAGAGAGATTTCATTATGAGTCCTTATAATTCTGACCTTCTATCTTAATGTAATATGTCTTCTTCATTCTTATCATTGGTAAGTTGCTAAATTGTGTCCAAAGCTTTGGGATCCCATGGAATACACCAAGCCAGGCTTCCCTGTCTTTGGTCAACTCCCAGTGTGTGCTCAAACTCATGTTCATTGAGTCAATAACGCCAGCAACCATGTCTTCTGCTGGTCCCTTCTCCTTTTGCCTTCACTCTTTCCCAGTGTCAACTACAAATTGGCACTTGCCAATAGCATTGCCTGTGACCGAACCACAAGGGCATTTGCTAACTGCCTCTATGGAGATTGAACCCCATGCTGCATAGCTGTTGCCCTTCAACAACCCCAGAGGGAGTTTGGATGGAGTGAGGCACTCTGCACCCCAGGGAATCTGGTGGGACAGGTCTTTAGATAGTTGGATGTTTTTAGAAACAGATGGGGAGACAGTGAAAGCAGTGTCAGGCTTAATTTTTCGGGGGCTCCAAAATCACGGCAGATGGTGACTGCAGCCATGAAATTAAAAGACACTTACTCTTTTGAAGGAAAGTTATGATCAACCTAGATAGCATATTAAAAAGAAGAGACATTACTTTGCCAACAAAGGTCCATCTGGTCAAGGCTATCGTTTTTCCAGTGGTCCTGTATGGATGTGAGAGTTGGACTGTGAAGAAAGCTGAGTGCCCAAAAATAGATGCTTTTGAACTGTGGTGTTGGAGAAGACTCTTGAGAGTTCCTTGGACTGAACGGAGATCCAACAAGTCCATCCTGAAGGACATAAGTCCTGGGTGTTCACTGGAAGGACTGATGCTGAACCTGAAACTCCAATACTTTGGCCACCTCATGTGAAGAGTTCACTCATTGGAAAAGGCCCTGATGCAGGGAGGGACTGGGGGCAGGAGGAGAAGGGGATGACAGAGGATGAGATGGCTGGATGGCATCACTGACTCGATGGGCATGAGTTTGAGTAAACTCCAGGAGTTTGTGATAGACAGGGAGGCCTGGTGTGCTGCAATTCATGGGGTCGGAAAGAGTCAGATATGACTGAGCGATTGAACTGGACTGAGGAACATATTTTATGATCTCAATCCTTGCATCTCCTCATGGCTAGAGGAGCACTAAATCTTTTCATGGTTATATCAGATCCTCGTGATTAGCAAGAAACCTTTTGGAAAATGAGTGCTTAATGGCATTGAACTCGCCCTTCACCAAAACCTTATACATTGACCTTCCCCCACTGCCACTCTGGAGCAGTCCCTCAGAGCTCTCTGAAGTTCTCCCTCCCCGGCGGTAGTCCTTATTTTGCCCCAGACCTGTCCAGTCGCTCAGTCGTGTTCCACTCTTTGCGACCCATGGACTGCAGCATACCAGGTTTCCCTGTCCATCACCAATTCTCAGAGCTTCCTCAAGCTCATGTCCACCGACTTGGTGATGCCATCCAACTATCTCTTCCTGCGTTTAATCTTGCCCAGCATCAGGGTCTTTTCCAATGAATCCTTTCTGTGCATCAGGTGGCCGAAGTATTGGTGTTTCAGCTTCAGCAAGAAGAAAGTGAAAAAAAACTATAGAGCCTCTTGATGAAACTGTAAGAGAAGAGTGAAAAAGTTGCCTTAAAACTCAACATTCAGAAACCTAAAGTCATGGCATCCAGTCCCATCACTTCATGGCAAATAGATGGGGAAACAATGGAAACATTTTGCCCCAAATAAAACTTAACTTGCAAATCTCAAGTTGAACATCTTTTTACTCAACACTAGCATCAGACTGTTTTCCAGTGAGTTGGCTCATTGTCAGATGGCCAAAGTATTGGAGCTTCAGCCTCAAGATGAGTACCTCCAATGAATATTCAGGGATGATTTCCTTTAGGATTGACTGGTTTGCTCTCCTTGCAGTCCAAGGGACTCTCAGAAGTCTTCTCCAGCACCACAATTAGAAAGCATCAATTCTTTGGTGCTCAGCCTTATTTATAGTCTAACTATTTCATCCATACATGACCAGGAGAAAACCATAACTTCTGGCAAAATGATGTCTCTGCTTTTTAATATGCTGTCTAGGTTTTTCACAGCTTTTCACAGGTTTTTCACAGCTTATTTTGGAGCCCTATGAAAGTAATACTGTCACTGTTTCCACTTTCCCCCCATCTATTTGCCATGATGTGATGGGACTGGAGGCCACGATCTCAGTTTTTCTGAATGTTGAGTTTAAGCCAACTTTTTCACTTTCTTGTACCCCTATCAAGAGCTTCTTTAGTTCCTCTTTGCTTTCTGCCATTAAAGCGATATCATCTGCATATCTGAGATTGTTGATGTTTGTCAAGGAGATCTTGACTCTAACACTAAAGAAAGTGAAAGTTGGTTGCTCAGTCCTGTCCCACTCTTTGCAACTCCATGGACTGTAGCCCACTAGGCTCCTCTGTCCATGGGATTCTGCAAGCAAGAATACTGGAGAGGGTTGGCATTCCCTTCTCCAAGGGATCTTCCTGACCCAGGAATTGAACCCCAGTCCTCTGCATTGCAGGCAGATTCTTTACCAAGTGAGCCACTAGGAAAGACCTACTACTAAAAAGCCTTTAGTAAATGCAAGTCTCTGGGCCAGGGTGAAACAAAGCCAGATATTCAGAAGCCGTGGGCTATTTCCTGCTCCCTAACTGCTGGAGGTGGAGGGGTTGGGGGGGGCGAGGGGGGATGTGAGAGGAGCCCAGCTGCCTCATCTGTCATCTCTTATAGTAAAAAAGGAATTAGGATGTGAACAATGGAGGAAGCAGGATTACTTCTGGATAGCTAGATGCATATGAAAGAAATTATTTCAATAAGCCTGGACACTTGCATCTTACCATACAGAGAAGATCACTAAATCTCTTCATGTGAGGAATCTTTTTTTTAAATTATTGTAACATTTAATAATCAGATTACCTGCCCCTTGCTGCAAACTTGTATAAAGTCTGTCTCCTGCCCTGCCTCCTCAGACTCAGCTGTCTCAAGATCACTTAACATACTCTCTCCTGGGGTCGAAAGAGTGCCTGCACTCTATAAGGCAGAAAGAAAAAGGAGAAGAACTAGCAGGGGTGATCTGCATAGAGAATGCAGGAAAGGTAAGCACCAAACAAAGGATGTGATTAGCATATCAGGTTAGTCTGGATTATCAGCTGCAGACCAGGAAGGAGAAAGTAAAAAAGGAGCTCTGAAAACGGCCAAGGGAAACAAGAAAACTATTTCTTCTCGATCATTGCAGCAGCTGCAGATTCAAGAGTTGTGTGGATGCCTTTAAAGTTATTTACTTAACACCCAGATGTGAGTTTGTGATAAAAATCCCCAGAGGAGACGCAGAGCAGGAGGAAGAAGAGGAGGAAATGGCAGCTTCTCAGGTAAATGTCCTGTCCCGAGTCTGGGGCTGTGTCTGCTTTTCCCCCTGAAATGCCTGGTCTGAACATCTGCAAACCTTCAATTCTCTGCTTCTAATTTTTCTACCTAGGGTGTTTGTTGCCAGCTGCTTACTTTTTCCAGTTTTTCTTGTATTAGAGAAGACTGGCTCTTTTTTTTTTTTTTTTCCATTTNNNNCCATGGATTTACATGTATTCCCCATCCCGGTCCCCCCTCCCACCTCCCTCTCCACTCGATCCCTCTGGGTCTTCCCAGTGCACCAGGCCCGAGCACTTGTCTCATGCACCCAACCTGGGCTGGTGATCTGGGAGAAGGCGAGGGTAGGATGTTTCAAGAGAACAGCATTGAAACATGTATATTATCTAGGGTGAAAAAGACTGGCTCTTTAGACTGTTTCTTCCTTATGTCCCAGAGCCTGTTATATAATGTCTGTATCCAGGCTTTCTATAGAGCATGATGAATTATCAGCACTGTTCCGTCAGTTTCAATGTTGAGCATATTCCCTTTGTGAAAGGCAGATGGGGAGGCGCTGGTATAAGGGATTCCCAGTGGAATGCTGTTCTGTGTTGAGATCCCAGGGAAGTAGGGGAAATGCCATGATGAGTTTATATCTGGATGCAACTTCAGGTCTTTAGAACAGGAGCAAAAGGCAATGCCCTTGGAAATAGAATGGACTCAGTGGTCCAGATTTTTTTCAAAAATAAAAAAATGTAGTTGAGACTATCCTCTTCCTCTGTGTCGATAAGAAAGACTTACTAATTAAATGTGGTATTAGGCTACATGTCACGGGAGGTATATATGAAGTGAAATTTGCTTCAAACTAACATTTTTTAATGATAGATTCAGATCATGGTTTCCATAATATTGCCAAAATACCCATGCAGTGGTAATGCATTCTTCCATGTACTTCTAACCCCATGACTCTGATGGTCACTGGTTTAGGTACTTCTGTGAGATTCCCATGCTATGCAGCTCATGTATTTTCCTTTTTTCTTTAACAAGTGTCTTGGGAAAAAAAAGTGCGGGATGTGCCTAAAGTATCACAGTAAATGGGCGAATCCCATATGCTCTTAAGTTTCTCTTTGCTTTGGAAGATGACTGTGTTTAGTAGAGATGCTGGGTTTGGAGGATTTTTGTCACTCAAGCCCAGGTCTGACCATTTCCAGGTACACTCCACACTCACATCACAGTCTCATCACATTTTTGTATTTTCCAAAACGTTTATAAGAATCTTATTAGTGTTAATCTAAGAAAAAAAAAGAATCTTATTAGTGTTAATCTATGTTCAACTGTATTAAAATTTGAACTATAGCTCTTTGGAAATGATATAGATTTTCAGGAAATTAAAAAATTCAGAACTAGTGCTTTACTTTATGTTACATCATTCTGTTTGTCTGTATTTTAGTTTATTTAAAGAAATAAAAATAATATCATCTCCATATATTTATGACATTTTTAATAAGTTTAAAAAATTGTATTTATTGACATGACAACTTTTCCCTATTAACTATTAATAAGTATATAGTCCCATTTTAGTATAGGTCTCTGTCCACAATCCTGTTAACACGATTTGATTGCTGTTTTTTGATCTATTTTTTTAAGATTTCCAGAAGAAGAGAATAGGTACCCACTCTAGTATTCTTGCCTGGAGAACCCTATGGACAGAGGAGCTATTATTTATGTTGCACATTCAAGATTCTGTAAAAAAAAAAAAACTGTCAGAAAGATATACAGTATATACTAAATAGTTAAAATGATTCTTGCTGCAAGGTTACTATCCTATAAGACCTGTAAAATCTGTAAAAGACTTAAAGTTCAGACTGAAGTATGATTTCTTCCCTACTGTTCTCCTTCATTGCTGTTCAGAATGGTCATTTGTGGAGCAGAATTTACAGCATCACGAGTTCAAATAAGCTTGGCAAAAAGGTGGCACATTTTCTCCACTCCAGAACTCTTGGATCAGAATGTGCTTGTTAAAAATGTTTTCTGTTTTCAGTAGACAATTCCTCCTGGGCCACATGAGTACAACACTCAAAATAAATAAGCCAGTGTTGGTCTGATTACATTATAATTTCCATTTCAGAGTAGTTTCTTGTGAATCACCTCCTCTTTTCTTGGGGGTAAAAGTGTGGTAGAAAATGTTACTGTGTGATACCAGAAACTACACTAAATCAATGTCAGTTCTCTGAAATTACTGCTTTCGTTTAGGGACAGGTTAGGAAGCCTTCGCTTGGCCATATGACAGTCAGTCAGTCAGTCAGTTCAGTCATTCAGTCATCAGTCCTGTCTGACTCTTTGCCATCTCAGTTGTGTCTGACTCTTTTTGACCCCAAAGTACATGCGTGTGTAATTTGTGTTTCAGGGACGGCTGACGTTCCAGGATGTGGCCATAGACTTCACCCAAGAGGAGTGGGAATGCCTGGACCTCGGTCAGCGGGAATTGTACAGGGATGTGATGTTGGAGAGTTATGGGAACCTGGCCTCCTTGGGTGAGGACAACTTCCTTCCAGAATCCCTTTTCCACCACTGGGTTTGGTTCCTGCATTTCTAGAATGTCTCCTGAAATTTTCTGCTTCCACCAATACCTTCAGATCCCTGCTTTCTAGCAGGAAATGGGTATTTGTGAGTTTAGAAAGAAAGCCTTCATGGTGATTCAGTATGGTTCTAACCTTTTTCTTTCCTGATGTAATCTGCCTCCTTCACTTTAGCGTGGTGGTGATTGAATCAGTTCCATGGTATTAAATAGTGACACCTTCCTCTTAAAATCACATTTACACTGCTTACTTTCACCTTGTAGTACTTGACCATAATCTCAGGACCTGATTTTTATGTATTTGTTAATGTTGTAATGGTGCTTTCCATAAAGTATTTGGGGAAATCATCCTCTAGGCTGTATTAACATTCACCCGTGTGTTCTCTTCTCACCGAAATACATATTGGGTTGGAAACTTATGAATCTCTAGCAAAACAGATATTCCTTTCTCTGATGAACAGGTCTCATGGTCTCTAAGCCGGACCTGGTCACCTTTCTGGAGCAAATGAAGAATTCCTGGGATGTAAGGAGAACGCACACAACAGCTACATACCCAGGTAGGTGTGAATGGATGGAGCTAATGACTGAGGTGAGAGGTCCAAGGAGCAGTGAGGAAGTCAGCCTTTGTCCTGTGGCTTGGGAAGACGCGCTCCAGTGGAAATGATTTTGGAGAACTCTGGGTTCATTTCTGTTGCTGTCATAGACGAACATTGCCTGGCTCCTTCTGCGTCTCAATCATTCATGAATTCAGCTCCATGATTACTTTTCTCATTCACACTGAGAATTCAAATTCTCTTCTTGGCTTGTGACAACTTGCATGAGTTGCCTGCTCTTTCATGTCTTGGGGGTCCTAGGAAAACTGCCCATTGATGAGTAAATATAAGATGCTCTTTTTAAAGTTTGTTTCTATCTCTAGAAAGAAGTGTGTGAATGGAATTGTAAACAAACTACCAATACTCTAGGAATATTGGAGACAGAATCTTTTTTCTGATTTATATTTTCTAAAACACTGGAAGCTACAAATATGACCTTATACATTTTAAACTCATTTCAATATATAAAGCAAAACTTCCATAAAATGATAGAATGTGATTCTCTGAGTTATAGAAATGTTTCACTTTTCTTTATGTGAACTCATTTTAAATATCTGAAGTGTATTTGCCAAAATTCCTCAATGGTAAAGTACTTTAATGTATTCAATTAACTCAAAGATTTTTAAAATAAATTGGCAAAATAGTTTAGAACATTTTCCACCATATTTCTATTGGTTGTTTGAAACTATTATCATTTTAGATCATATAAAGAAGTCCTTTTAAGTCCTTTAAATCCTTATTGGATCTAAATCCCTATTGTTTTACAATGTTGTCCTCTTGTACAGCAAAGAGAATGAAGTATACGTATAAATAGCCACTCTTTGTTAGAGTTCCTTCCCTTTGGGTCTCCACGGGGAACTGAGTAGAGTTCTCTGTGATCCCAACACATTTTTTATTTTCTTTTTTTTCTTTTTTTACAGACCCAAACCCTCACATATTTATTTATTTTTTCTTTTAGTCAGAAGAAAAGTTCCAACATATTTTTTAAAATCTCACTTCTTATTTAATTGCTTAACACTTTATTATCTTGTTTCTTATGAGCTGCCCCAGACTTTATTAATTTACCTCATTTGTTATCACTTTCTTATGGCCCTCAGTTTCTAATTAGTTGTATATCAATATCGTTTATGATTTTTAGATACAAACATCTAATAGAATGTGTTCCAATAGAACACAAGTGGTAAGAAGTGGGTTAAAGAATTGGAAGGCAGCTAATATTTCTGAAAATGTTTGGTGTCTCCATTTAAGACGACTTAGGGCAAAAGATAATCATTAGACTGCGTGTCTCCGCTTCATTTAGTGGTTCTTGTAGCTTATTATTTTGCCCCTTCCTCTACTCCATACTCGTTGTCCTCTGGTTTCATTACATTTTCCGTGTTTGTGGTCTCTGCCCTGAAGGCTGCAGGATCCCAGCTCCTCTTGTCTCTTATGTCTGCCCCTTTGGGGCTCAGTTTGGTCCTGAGGTTTGTGCCCTGACCCCCTGGATGGGCACTTGATTGCTGTGACCCGAGCCTGCCCTGGATATTGAGGGGAGCTTCCCCATCGCTCTGTGGCTGTCACCAGCCTGTCTGTGGTGGGTCTGTGCCCTGGTTGGTGGAACAGAGCCCCCAGATCTGTTTCTTTGCTGTGATCCTTTTCAGTGTGGAGGCAGGTGGGATTGGAGCACACCCCTGGGAGAGAAGCCCCTGAGGATTGCTGTTCTGGGGATGTTCCCCTTGGGATGTGCTCTGTGCGTCATTTTCAACCACTGGGTGAGTCTCGAGTGACCCTGGTTGGCACTGATCTTGGCCCCACCTCACCCATGGGTATGCCGGCACACAGCCCTGGGGTCTCTCTGATGTTGTTTTCCTCGGGTCACCAGCATAGATCCCCTGAACTCAGGGCCTCGGTCCCAGGTGCTGTGGAGCTGTGGGGGCAGCTCAGACTCCGGCCTGGCCGTGTCGCCTCGTTATGAGCCCACAAAGTCTACAGCTGCTAAACCACACCTGCTGTGACCGGGGCGGCCCCCTTGTCCTTCAGATGCTCTGCAGGGGCTGAGCTGACAAAGCCGGTTGCCGGTGTAAAAGCATGGTTAGTGCAGCTGCGAGCAGAGACCTCAGCTTTGCTTCCTCAACCCTGGGGCTCAGCTGTGCTTTCAGCTCCATCTGAGCATGTGGCCCACCCACAGGTGTCTGCCCCAGAGGCTGCCCCAGAGCACAGGGGTCTGCTGACGGTGGAGGAGGGGCATGGGGGAGGCCGTGGCTGGGGCTCAATAGAGCCCACCCGGGTGGCGGTCCTTCCTACTGCCAGGGATGAGGGGCCAGCCCAGGGGAGAGAGGCTGCGGTGGGGTTCTTCCCTTTGGGCCTCACTCAACAATGGCGCTCTGCGCTTTGGTGGTGCAGGCTTCCTCCACAAGCGTCCCATTTGCAGAGCTCCTCCTTCCCTCCCGTCCCCTCAGGATGTCTCCTCATGGCCAACCACAGTCCTCTGCCTGGGTCTGCTCTCCAAAGCCCACGTTCCAGCACCCAGCCCTTGTCTGCAGTGGTGGACACCCTTGCGGTGGACACCCTCTCAGGCTGGGTGGGCAGGGCAGGGCTCAGCACCCCATCTGGAGCTTTCACTGTCCTGCTGCCACAGGCGGGTTGCCATGTTCTCTTCCACAGAGAAGGAGGGTCTCCTCCTGTCCAAACTGGGCTCCACAGTGAGGGGCTCCCCCGAACGTGGACACCTCTTCTCTCTTCAGATCCCCCCAAGCTTACATGTCCCATCCCAGACCCTCTCCTCTTCCTTCTGCTTCTTCTTCTTTGGTGCTACCTGTCTCTGCAGGAATCTTTCTTGTCCTTTTAGGTGGTGGAGGTTCTTTCCTAGTGTTCAGAGGGGGCTCTGTGAGAATTGTTTCAATTCTGATGTATTCTCGATGCACTTGTGGAGAGAGATGAACTCCAATCTGCCTAATCCTCTGGCATCTTGATCCTTGGGTCCCCATTTTCTCTGAATCTTTAAGGATGTTCACTGAGAATAGTAGATAAGAAAGCTTCTATTTGGTATCTTTCAGCTCTGTCTTCTCACAACACACATGGTTTGATGTCAAAGAATCCAAGGTTTGAAAATTTAATCCGAACAGCAAACTTAGGACTACATGAAAGAGCTCACCTCGGAACTGACCATTTAATCAAAGCCTGGGGATACATAAGGGTATGTGACAGACTGAGAGGATGTTTATATGGACATAAAGAAATTGAGACCATTTCACATACTGTGGACATGACTGCCAGAAGAAATGAGCACTGTGAGTCAAATTGGGGAAATCACGTGTTTGGGTCATCACCATCTGCCACACAGTGTATCTTTGTAAGCAATGACTTACATCAGTTTTTGAAACACACATGTCTGGAAGGTCATCCAGTCTCTACTCCAAATGCTCGTTCAAATCACTCTGAACATAGTCTTCGATTACTCATACATTCAACCACATCTGAAAAGGAGAAGTTTACAAATGATGGGGAAAACTCACAATATAATCAACTTGACGGATCTGTGAGCAATGGGTCATTATTCTTCTGTCAACAGACAGGTTCTCTCCAATCTAAAATGTGTAATGTTGATAATAATGGAAGAGACTTAATTCAGCCATCACTGTTTGATACATATCGTGATAGGGTTAATATAAAACAACTTTTCATGTGTAATAACACGAGTCAGGCCTTAAGTAGGAGCTCCAACCCCAATAGTTACCAGAGTATTTATGATGGAGCAAGAAACTGTTCATGCAATGACAGTGGATATAACATTGAACAAGCCTCTGATCTTAGGAAACATCAGGCTCTTCAATCTTCTGATAAGGACTCAAAAAGTAATACATGTAGGAATATCTTTTATCGAGCATCAGGGCTTTCACTAAATAAGAGTACACATACTGGAGAGGAGACTTATAATTCTAGTGAATATGATGTTTCCAATCAGTCTTCAGAACTTATTGCACAGCAGAGTATTCAGAATCCAGAGAAAAACTACAAGTGTAAGAAACGTGAGAAAGTCTTTACGAAATGTAAGGAATATGGCGAAGGGTTTAGCCAGCACTCAAGTCTTACTTACCATCAGAGAGTGAATACCTGGGAGAAGTCTTTTAAATGTAAAGATTGTGGCAAAGCCTTTAAACAGTGCTCATGTCTTCATAAACAAAAGGTAATTCGTGCTGGAGAGAAACCTTATAAATGTCAAGAATGTGCAAAAGCTTTCAGTCAATACGCAACTCTTATTAAACACCAGCAAATTCATACTGACGAGAAGCCTTATAAATGTAAGGATTGTGGCAAAGGCTTTATTCAACGCAGAGGTCTTACTTGCCATCAGAGAATTCACACTGGAGAGAAACCTTATAAATGTCAAGAATGTGGAAAAGCTTTCAGTCAATACACAACTGTTATTAAACACCAGAGAATTCATACTGGAGAGAAGCCTTATAAGTGTAAGGATTGTGGCAAAGACTTTAGCCAGGGCTCAGGCCTCATGTACCATCAGAGAGTTCATACTGGAGAGAAGCCTTATAAATGTCAGGATTGTGGCAAAGGCTTTATCCAGGTCTCAGGCCTTATGTACCATCAGAGAGTTCATACTGGAGAGAAGCCTTATACATGTAAGGATTGTGGCAAAGGCTTTAGCGGGCACTCAGGCCTTATGTACCATCAGAGAGTTCATACTGGAGAGAAGCCTTATAAATGTAAGGATTGTGGCAAAGGCTTTAGCCGGCGCTCAGATCTTACTTGCCATCAGAGAATTCACACTGGAGAGAAACCTTATAAATGTCAAGAATGTGGAAAAGCTTTCCGTCAATGCTCTACTCTCACTCAACACCAGCGAATTCATACTGGAGAGAAGCCTTTTAAATGTAAAGATTGTGGCAAAGACTTTAGGCGCCGGCCCAGTCTTACGCACCATCAGAGAATTCACACTGGACAGAAACCTTATAAATGTAAAGAATGAGGAAAAGCTTTCAGTCACTATGCAACTCTTACTAAACATGAGTGAATTCATACTGAAGAGAAGCCTTATAAATGTAAGGATTGTGATAAAGACTTTAACCCAGCACATTGGTCTTACTTACCATCAGATAATTCATACTGAAGGAAATCTCATCGATGTGAGGAAACCTGCAAAGGCTTTAATCAGAGCTCTCACCTCACTGGACATCAGAGAGCATGTCCTGGAGGGAAACCCTAGTACTGAAGTAAGACATGGAAGAGGTTTGTCCTGAACATACAGTTCAGGAATCCCAAGATTGTTTATATAAGAAAGATATGGAATGACATAAAGAAAATGTAAGTAAGTATTTACAAAAAATCAAATCTAAATAAATGTCAGGAAATGCATAGTAGAAAGCATTTCATAAATCCTGTTTTCTGACGTTCCTCTTAGGGAGAAATATTGTAGATGTGATTCATAGTTAAAATAGACAGAAAATTGATATGTTAGTATGGATCACAAGATGAAGAGGTGATGTTTAGCCATGTACAGTTACTAGCTATGTATGTTTGTTTATATTGACATGATTTGTGATTATTTGAAAACCAAAATGAATGTAACTGAATTCTCAAATTACTACATGCCACACTTCATTTCTAGTGTGCATGCGAAGTTATGTTTTTGATGGTTGCTACCTCAAAGATGAGAGAAGCCCTTCTATCTAGGAAGAAAACATTTATATTTTTCTCCATTATGAGATTAAGGACACAGTAATGTAACATGTGCAGTGAATATCTAAATGGTGGTGTTTGTCATTCATGTCACACATCCCTGTAACTCACTGTGATGTAAGTGTTCAGGGAATAATTCCACAGATTAAAGTAAGATGTCCATTTTTAATAGTTACATCACTTGCTGTTAAAGTAAAATAACTGTTCACTAAAACCTTGATGTATTTTATAATATCAACAGAAGTCATGAATATCACTTGCCATGTTTCAATTAAAGACATTTCTGCTACCCTCGAAATGTATGGAAAACCCTTCCCAGAAAAGTCATGTAATTAGTTTACATCTTCTTAAATGATTAGCCTCCCTTTTGTAACCATAGAAATCATAGTTCTCAGATCATTTTACCAGAAGAAAGAATATCATTCTTTATGCTTATAATATGTATTTTAAGCAAAGTTACATAGTGGAATGTAAAAGGTTTTATTCTGTGTGTGATAAGCATACATGTTAAACAATAAAACTGAATGGTTTCTTGCGTAAATGTTGGTGTGTAATGAATGAAGTGTTAGCCTAGCAATTTAAGGTTGCAGGAAAGAATACCTAATGAGAAACTCTTCAGTAGCATAGATGGGTGAAGTCTGTAACAATTAGTTTCCTTCCTGCCCTTAAGTTTCAAATCATTTGATCATGTATTTCCCATCATTTCTCCATTGTACTTTTCCCCCTCTCTGTAGCTGCAGGGACATTGTGATGGTTCTAATAAGAAGGATCACACAGAGCACTGTTGAGAGCTCTGCTGAACTGCTCCATGCTGTTGCTGCCTCAGCATCTGGGGAGCAGGCAGCCTGCAGGTCCTTGAGCTCACACCAGCCATTCCTGTGAGCACCTGCACCAGAAGACCCCCTTCCTTGAGACCAGCAGGCTTACTGAACCCCAGGGCCTATTCACAGGCTCCCCTTCAATGCCACCCTCACAGAGCCACAGAATCCTAGTCCTTTTGGTCTGAATGGACCCACCCACACTCAGCCTGGGGAGCCCACAGCACTTCACCCAGGGCCTCTTATGAAAACCTGAACCCCAGTTACTGCCTCTTTCTCTGCTCACTTCTATCCTTGACCTCACTCAGAGCTTGCTGTGACTTCTCTCAGGACCTAGAGTCATGAGCTCACCTGCTTCAGTTGTCCTTTGTTCTTCTCTTGAGCTAAGTGAGACTTTTCATGGGCTCATTTAAGCAAATGTAAATTTAACATTTCTCACAAGAATACTTAAAAGTCATGATGGTAAAATTCTGAACTGAGGTTTATAAAATCTAACCCTGTTTCTTAGCATATGTTGTTGTAAAGCATAAAGGAACTGTTTTCCCATGGCTATGACATACACAATGCCATATATAAATATCTGAATGTATATATGTTATATAATTTATATAGCACACATTGAACACAATAAGTAAATATCTGAAGGTATAAACACTAGCAGTGAGAAATACAAGGAACATGTGAGTGTGTGTGTATTAGTATACATTTACTTAGAGAATTGAGGAATGCTAGACCACAACTGCTCATTTCAGAATTGCAGATGATTTACTAAAAACTGCAAATCTTATAAATTTGCCAACTATTCTGTCTACTATTCTGGGAATTCATTTCCTTAAATGTCAGGAGGTTACATTTTTAAAGGAACTTCCACACTGTCCTCCCAAGTGACTGCACCCGCTTACATTCCCTCCAGCCATTCAGGAGGTTCCCTGATCTCCAAGCCTCTTCAGCGTTTATGATATTGTTACTGGGCTTTTTGCTAGTCTGACTGGCATGAGGTGATACATCACTGTAGTTTTGTTCTGCGTTTCTTACTATTTAGCGATGGTGAGAAAGTTTCTTTTGTGTCTTGCCCGTCGAAAAGAGCAAGTTGTCCCACCCAGCCTTAGCAGCTGTGGGGCACAGGCATGGTCTCCCCACAGCACATGAAGTATTCCTGGACCAGGGATGATGCCCGAGGGCCCCACACTGTCAGGGGGATTATTAAGCCCAGGGTTATGAGTCTGTTTGTTTATCTTTGAGATGTATATATATGTAAATTGGAATGTTTTCCTTTACAGTGTTGTGTTAGATTCTGTTGGACAACTTCATCAATCAGCCATAGGTATATGTATACACACTCTCTCTTGAACCTCCCTCCCACGATCTCTGTCTTACCCCTCTAGCCATCACAGAGCCTCGCGCTGAGATCTCTGTGCTATAGAGCAGGTTCCCACTTGCTACCTATTTTACACATTGCGGTGAATATATGTCGAGGCTCTTGTCTCAATTGGGCCCCCTCTCATTCTCCCCCTGTGTCCACAGGTCTAATGTCTATATTTGTGAAAATGTTGTATTAACAAATATGTATGGAATCTAGAAAATGTTATTGATGTTCCTATATAATGAGCAGGACTAGAGCTGCAGACATAGATATTAAGCATTTTTATATTAAGCTTTCAAGGTATAAAATAAATGGACAATCATTCCATGCATTTTAGTAAGTGAAAGAAGCCCATCTGAAAGTGCCACAAGAAGTCGGATTTTTACAACCTGGCATTGTGGTGTGGGTGAATGTTGTCATGTGCTCCATTGTGTCTGAGGCTTTGGGACCCAATGGACTGTGCCTGCCAGGTTCCTCTGTCCAGGAAATTTCCCAGGAAAGAACACTGGAGTGGGTGGCCATTTCTTCTTTCAAGGGATCTTGCAGGGGATGCTTACCCAAGAGTTGAACCCACATCACCCGGGTCACCTGCATTGGCAGCTGGATTCTTTACCACGGAGCCACCTGAGAATCTAGTTGGAAATGTAGAAGAGATTAAAATGGTCAGTGGTTGTCATGGGTTGCAAAGCAGGGGCTATGAATATCGTGCGTTCAGGACCATGAAGTCATCCTGTGAAACTGTTGTAATGGACACAAGTTATTATACATTTGCTCAGACCCTAGAGTGAACACCCCTAGAAGAAAAATATAAGGTGAAACTAGAAACATTATTTCATGTCTTTCCAGATTTATCTCTGGTAACAAATGTAAATACTGCTGGGGAAATAAGTAGGAAGACTGTCCACATATGAGAGAAATATGTATATGGGAAATATGTGTACCTTACTCTCAATTCTGCTCTGAAACTAAATCATCTAAGATATTGGTACTGGTGCATGTACAGTGATCAGTTTTAGAATATATACTATTAGAAAAAAGGATATGCTCCTACCTTAGTTTTTCCTTAGTCAATTATCTTTTAAAAATGTGAGAAAATAGGACTCTCCATAAAGAATAGAGAACAAACTGTAGCAGATGATTCATAAAACCTGGAAATACAAACATGAAGCAGGGCAGCAACATTTTTCTGTGTTGAAAGTGAAGATGAAGTCGCTCAGTCCATGTCTGATTCCTTGGCACTCCATGGACTGTAGCCCGCCAGGCTCCTCTGTCGATGGGATTTTCCAGGCAAGAATCCTGGAGAGGGTTGCCATTTTCTTCTCCAGGGGATCTTCCAGACCCAGGGATCAAACTGGGGTCTCCCACATGCAGGCAGACTCTTTACTCTCTGAGCCACCAGAAAATCTGTTTCATGTGTTAATTTATGGGTAAGTTCACTTCTGACTTGTTTCCTTGGTTGGTTCCCGGATAGATTTTAGGGCATCATTTTCAAATGCACCTGTCCCTGCACACACACAGTGTTAACCCAACGTCCACTGCTGCCCCTGGTTTATTCTCAAAGAAAGCTGTGATGGAAACACCTCCCGGATCCTCATTTTTCTGTAGCAGACCCCCCACCTGCTGAGAGGTGGTCATAGTACAAATCATTTTGTGCAAACATGTGTCTGCAGGTGTGAGGCTGCCAGGGTTAATACCATGACAGGTGGCCTGGACCTAAGTTTTTGCTTCCCCCGAAATGATAAGATTCCCTACCCCCATCAGGTAACCTGAAGCCAGCCAATATGCTCTCAGTAAGAAACAAAGGAAGAGCTGAAAGGCCCGCGAAAGTTGCACCAATAAAATTGCTTTGCAGACATGTAACCAATCCGCTTAAGCCAGCTACTAACCTCTTATGCATACCTTATAAATTTGGATAACAGCCTTTGTTCAGGGCTTTTCTGACCTTGCGCCACTGTGTTGGCCGCAGCAGAAAGCCCTGACTCGAGCCAGAAATAAAACTTCCCTTTTTGTAAATTGCATTGTCTTGGTAGCCTTCTCTTTTCCTGCTCGGGGATTCGGACATCGGGCATAACATGTTCAGTGCTGCCCCTAGTTTATTTTCAAAGAAAGCAGTGATGGAAATAC